AGATGCAGTCAGTGATGCCAGGTCGTTTTTTTTTAAAGCGGCAGATTTAGTTAAAAAAAAAGCGGGAGATTCGAATAAAAAACGGTAGTTTTTAATTTTTTTTAATACCATGGTTTTCTCTATTTTAATAATTTTAATACTTACGTAACCAAAAAAATATATTGAATTTGTCAAAATAAAACAAAATATGATAAACAAAAAACAAACAAAACTGTTAATTGTTACTAACTTCTTTTTCTAAGGAAAATAATTTCATCCAATCAAATTTGAATATTCGCGTACTACAAATTTGGTTGGCTGAAATACCCCGTGAGTGAGACACTGACATCTGTGAATGGTAGAACCAACTAATTGTGTCATATCAATATTTGGTTTAGGCAACCCATATTTTACTTTTGGTTCATATAAATTGTATAATACGAAGGAGAATTTGTGAATTTTATTTATTTAAAGAAGTAAGAAAAGCGGGAGATGTTTTTCAATAGCGGTAGAACGGGAGATTGTTTCCAAAAACGGTATATCTACCGCTAAAACGGGAGACCTGGCATCACTGGATGCAGTAATGGTGTGTTTAGTAAGTGCTGCTGATCAGTTTTGTTTCTTTTTCGGCAGACATATCGAGACTGATGGCTGATTATAGACCAAGAATATCACCTGCTACAAACCGCATATTAACATTAATACTGCATTCATCCTCCAGAAAGAGGTAGGTACACCACGTGTCCTTTTTCTCTAAATTACTAAATATATATTTACTTAAAAAAACCGATAGAAAAGTATTTATTTACCTAACTAGTGCGCAAAGTGCTTTTTCCACATGCGACTGAAGAGAAAATCATTAAAATAATTAAATACATTAACATACAAATGTTCCATTGTTTTGTTCCATGTATCTATAACTTTTTAAAGTATTGCCTGACAAGAAAGGATTATGTTTTTAGAAATCTGTTAGGATCACAAAAATTGTTGAGTTTTAAATAATATATGAAATTAGGAATTCTAAGTAAAAATTCAAAATCCAAAAGAAAAATTAAACATATCTCCATATGGGAAAATAATTAAAATTTATTTGGAGTTTGGTCATCAGGCGAGTGCAGAAAATACACTTTCCGAGCGTGTTATATACAATATTTAACCTACAAGCAAGGGAATCTCGCAATTACTTAATCAGTTTCCATTTGTAAAAAATATTTTTTTACAAGCGTGCGGAAAGTTGCTACTTTCGACACGCATTTACTCTCTGTGCTATAAAGTTTGTCGATTTTAAATAAATTATAACAAAAAAACTATAAATCTCATTATTTTTTTAGACGTCTAAATTGTTTACTTTAATATGGTGCCATATTAAAGTAAACAATTTTTTCATGCCTATAATAAAACATTTCAATAATTTTAAACTTTTTTAGTTATTAAAGATTGGAATATAATTAATAGATTAATTTAAATTTTAATTAAGTAAATATTTAAAAAAATATTTCCAGGTTAAATAAAAGCTGGTTTCCTAAGCTTATAAATGATATATGTATAATACATACTCTCTTAAAATGAATTAGTCAAAAATAACTAATTATAAGTCATATTTGACTAATTATCATTACGAAAAAGCAGTCACTAATAATTAGTCAAATTCTACTGAATGGAATAGTCAAATTAGTAGATTTAAATTTAAAAAACTCTGATCTTTCGGTTGTCAAGCTTGTCATGCGTATGTCGTAACCAAATTGGCCATCAGTCACTTTAATAAAAATCTATTTTATTTGTCTATAAATATTGCTCATAATATTTTAAAGTTGAATATATTTTTTGTGTTGCTGTTTTGAGCTAAACTTTTTGCATCTTTGTTTGTTTTTATGGGTCATTTAACCATGGAACCTATATGCATTTAAAAGTGAAAACGACTATTTTATAAGTTAAAATAGTAGAATTTTGACTATTTCATCTTAAGAGAGTACACTTGGTGAATTTTATAACTGATATTAAAAATTTTGGTACAATTACACTAAAATTTTCAGAACAAAATTGCACTGAAAATTGTTAAGGAGTTATAAAGTTGAAGATTCCTGGCATCTGGTCTATAATAACCAAGAACCGGATTTTAGGCAAAATGCCTTTTTGTTTATATTTTAGGCATTTGTTTGGGACCATGAAATTAATTCTAAACCTAAAAAAAATAAAGCGTTTGACACTCCTTTGTTTTGGCCTAAAAGCCTAAAATGACGAAATTTTGATTTATTGTCCTAAAAAGACATTTTTATGAGCCTACAATAGGCTCTTTTAATTTTTAAGTAAAAAATATATTTTTCATTGCGGAAAAGTAAATTATTTTTAATTAGACCCTGCTTTCATGCTCTTATTTCGCCTAGACGCCCTTGGCGAGTACGAGAACCACAAATTATAATTACTTTTTTATTAGGTTTTCAATAGTTTTGTATTCAAAACTAGTGAAAACCTAATAAAAAAGTAATTATGTTCTTGCTATCTAAATATTTATTATAAATAATTATGGATAATATTAAGTATGTAAAATAATGGTTAAAAATTAGTATTTACTTTTTTTCATAGGATTTTCATATATGTATTACATAATATATTATATCGTCATATTCCTGCCAAAACTCACTAACTGACATTTTGGAAAATCTTAAACGCTATTGTTTATATATCCAAATTTACCATATATGCTTAATATATATCTTTAAGGTATGGAAGTCTTAAATGCAAATATATTTATATAAACAATAGCTTTTAAGATTTTTAAAAATATCAGTTAGTGACTTTTGGCAGGAATATGATGATATGGTATGATATGGTAAATTCAGACTTTTTAACAGTTTTTACTACCTAATATAATTTGTCGCAATCTATGGCATAATTAAATAGCTCTCCACAATTTACAGGTGGTAAATAGTTTTTCTTTAAAGACAATAGATGGCTAAAGCCAACTTTGACAACACATACTTGTGTGGAAGTATTCGTTTGACAACCGTTGGAATCAACGTATCGTGCTTTTGTTTGTATTTGTTGTTTATATTTTTTGTTCAGCGTCGCCTGCTTATTCCAATATATATTTATTTTATTTATTTTAACATCCAGATACACGTGTACAGAAAATAATTTCTGCCTATTGGAGGTAATAAAATTACCTGTACATAGGTCCGGTACATAACTTAAAAACTAGGATCTTAAAACTAAACTAAAACTAAAATAATATATAATATTTTCATTATCATTGCGAAAACAGTTTATAATTCCAACATTTAATACTATTAAGTTAACAATGAATTATTGGTACAGTTTTTGGTAATCCAGTCTTTTAACATTTGTTTAAACTTAAAAGTAAATTTGTTTTTTGGGATATTTACTACTTTGATGTTATTAGGTAACATGTTGAAGATTTTTATACCATTGTAGAGACTAGTTTTTTTACCAACAGCAAGCTTGACTTTTGGCAGTACAATACTTTTAAACCTAGTTGTTTTATTACTATTTTTGTACATAACGTACAAGTTATTAAAATTGATAAGTATGGTTTTTAAATAGTAATTTTGATAAATATTAAGGTATATATATATATATATATATATATATATATATATATAGATATATATATATATATATATATATATATATATTAGGGTGATTCATTTCCGCAAAGTTATTTAGATTGATTTTTTCTATTTATTATCATTATATTTCCCTATACTAAGAAGTTTTTTAAAATTATTAATTTCTCACTTATAATGAATATGAAAACAACAGATAAATTCATAAAAAAATAGCAAAAAAATATAAATGAAGATTATTTAATATTTTGAAGCGAAATTTGAAATATGTTACATAACCTTCAGTTATAAAAATGGCATTAAATTCATTAAATATTGGTTGGATAACTTTTTTTTTATGAATCGGCCCTTTTTTCTCACTACTTTTGGCAATTTGCTCGAAAAAATAAAAAAAAAAGATTTTTTTCAAAAACTGTCCTTTGACGACTCCTACTGGTGAACCAATGCGAGTTACAAAAAAAACTCAAAAGCAATTTTAAAGAGCGTGAAATTCCCCATAAGGTGTATTAAACCGATTTGCAATATTGACAAAGGTGGGTAAGCATTAGAAATTTGAAAAAAAAAACATTTTTTTTACATGCATTTTAAATGGGAAAACTTTAAATTTAAACTGCAAGTACTTAAAATTGATATTAAGAGCTATACCTTGGTGAAATTTTTTTTTTCTATAGGTAGATTAATATTTTGCTTGAGCACCGAAAAAAAACAAAAACTTTGCGGAAATGAATCACCCTAATATATATATATATATATATATATATATACTCATTAACCGCCCATAGGAAGCCAAAAATACCAAACTCTGCGGTGCATACCAAGCCCGACTTGCACTTACGAAGCCCGCCTTCGGGCTTCGTAAAAAGTTACGTGTATATCCGTTGTATTTGGGAAGGGCCTTAGTTTTTAAAGCAAATGCTAGATTTTCGTTTTGGCGCTATAAAACTGACTTTTACCTTAAAACATACTAGTTTTAGTTCAATTAAGAATAAACCAGAGGTCGCGGTTGTTTTCTGTATATACACTTATAAAATATAAGATATATTTTGTCGACTTTACGAGCCATCTATATCTTTAGTTTGAAGGGAAGCCCTAAATTCGGCAACACTGCACTCAAAGATATATATCAATTCTCATAATAAATTTGCAAATTACTCACTTCTTCGTATATTTTGTTTATACTTTGCATATTAAATACATCCAAAATCGATCCTTTTGAAATTCGCTGATTATCAAAAATAATGTATTGCATTTAAAAAATATCTTTGGATTTTATTCATTGAGATATAAAACAACTAAAAAAGTTTGTGCCTAAAAAACCTTTATTTGTTTTTGGGTTTTTAAGGTCCAATTTAAATTTAAATTATTGTAAATTAACTGAAATTTTAAAACAATAATTATATAAATAAATGAAACAAGTGTTAGTTTAAAGTTTTAAAAATGTCCAAACGCGCAGCTTTAATGATTAAACTGGCCTGTGAGAAACAATTGGGTGAGTAAATTTTTTTATTTTTATTATTTTACTTATAGCTTATAAATTTTATTATTTTATTAGATGCCAAAAAAAACTGAAAGCAGTATTAAAAATTCGGAAGAAATTTCTATAACATGTGCAGGTAATTATTAACTGCATACCTTATTTTAATTTTTAATCTGAATTTTTACTTTTTATTTTAAAAGAAGAAACGATAACACATGAAATAGTTAATGACATTTTAAATGAGCCTGGTCCAAGTATGTGCAAAGAAAAAAAACAAGATAAAGGTAAAATTTTGTCCAAAAATAAAAAATAAACAATTTTTGATATAATTTTTTAAATATTTAAATAATTTATTCTTAAATAATACGAGCCGTAACCCAAAAATGTTCGGACACTTTATAATTTATACAAAAAGATTTTTCGTGAATACTATCTCAAAATTATTAGAAGTTATGAAAAATTCAGCTCATTTTAGCATATACCCCTCGAAGCGATTTTTATTTTTTAAAAGTTTACCTTCTATTTTAGGCTTTTAAAAAAGGCAAACATTTTAACTTTTTTTTGTATGAGTAAAAAAAGTTATAAATGGACACATTAAAAAGAGTATAAAATATTATACAAACCCTAAAAATTTGATAAAAATTAAATTAGTTATAAAAAATTAATTTTAATTTAAAAATGCTATTTTTAAAGAATTTTTGCAATTTTTTAAGGAAACGGGTGATTTTGCAACACTTTAGGATGATATAACTTTCTTATTATTTATACAATTTTTACCAAATTTTCAGGGTTTTTTATAATATTTTATGCTCTTTTTAATGGGTTCATTTATAACTTCTTTTACTCATAGAAAAAAGTTAGCCTTTTTTTAAAAGCCAAAAAATTAAAGGTAAACTTTTTAAAAATAAAAATTGCTTCTAGGGGTAAATGCTAAAATAAGCTGAATTTTTTATAACTTCTAATAATTTACGAAAAATATTTCTGTATAAACTATGAAGTGTTCGAATAGTTTTAGGTTAGGGCTCGTATAAATTGTTTTTTTTTAAATATACCAATTTTTTGTCAAGTTATTGTATTTATTTTTATTTCTTATCATAAATGATTAATTAAAATGATTGAAAATGTTAAAATATCAATTTATTTTAACATTTTAACTAAATTAATACAATACCTACCTTAATGCATTTTTATTAATTTTAATTTTTAACCAAAAACATTAAGTAATAATCAATGCATAATTTTATTAAAATAAATTGCTTTAGTGCTAGATGAAGAATATGAAAATTTAATGTCTATTGCCTCCTCCACATTAAATTCTTACCAGGAAATGATTGCCGGTACAATGGAGGAAATTATGTCAGACTTATCCGATGATGAAATTATTGAAGATTCAGAATCTGAATATGAACCTTCAATATCTGATTCTAATAGTAGTGAAACAATTTCAGTATGTGAGGTATTTAATAGTATAGGTATCTGATTCTTACAAAAAAATAAACTTTTCTTTTTAGGAAATTTAAATTTTAGATAATCATGATGATAATGTTTCATCATCAAATGTAACAAATATTTCAGAACTGGCAAGTAGAAAAAGTAGTAAGTGTTTTTTATTTAATTAATTTTTTGTAGGATAATAAGCCATATTACACAAAAAAATAGGTGCGAGAGAAAGGCCTACAATTTGTCCGCTTTGTTTTCATGATGTAATAACACATTTTACTAGACATCTTTTTAGGCATCACAAAACAAGTTAAATTAATTCAGAGTTTAAAAGCTGGAAGCAAACAACGAAAATGTCTTATTCAGTCATTGCGTAAGCAAGGATATTTTTATTTAAAAACCGAAAAAAATGTCCTTCATCCAGTTAGGACATCAAATGATCCAGATGTAACATATTTTGTCTGTACTTATTGCCTTGGTCATTATAGCAAAAAACTTTTACACAAGCATGTTAAAATTTGCAAAAATAAACCAAAAGACGAAAAACATGTGGGAAAACGTTGTTTATCAAAATCTCAAACCTTTATGGCTTTAGTTAATTCAAAAAATGAGGAATTTTTAAAAAAATCTCGCATAAAAGACGAGGTTTTTGGTATAATGCGCCCAGATAATATTAGTTATGTGGCTAAAAATGATGCATTAATATGTTTATATGGAGAATCAATATTAAATAAACATAAAAGAAAGCAAATAATAAATGTTGTTTCAAATAAAATGAGGGAAATGGGAAGGTTGCTTATTTCTTTGCGAGAAACAGAACATTTTGTTGGATTATTTGATGTTCTAAAACCTGAGATGTTTCAAACTTTAATTAATGCAACAAAACAAATAAGCGGTTACGATGCTAACGAAAAATGTTTTAAATCGCCATCTCTTGTTCTTCATATGGGAATAAATTTAAAAATCTTGTGTAATATTGGACTTAAAATAGTTTTAGAAAATAGAAAAATGCATAATATAGATTGGACAGATCGGGATAAAAAAAAAGAAGAAATTAAAGACTTGAAGAAATTAATTGAAGGTCATTGGTGCAATGAATTATCAAGTTTGGCTCTTAAAAATTTAAAGGAAAAACATTGGGAGAAACCTGTGGAATTGCCATTAAATAGTGACATACAGTTACTAATTTCATATGTTGGAAATTTAGCTGCGAAATCTTTTAATAACCTAAATCAAAATGTTAATATACTTTTAAACTTTAAAACTTTATCTGAATGTGTCTTAGTTGAAACTTTAATGTTTAATCGAAAACGAGTAGGTGAGATTCAATATCTTAGGATAGAAACTTATAAGGTGGATGTTAGTACTGTTAATCAGGAATCATTTATGGACTCTCTAACACAGGTGGAAAAATTAATCAGTAAAAGATTTAAAAGAGTAATTTCAGGCGGAAAAGGTTTTAAACCTATTCCAATTCTGTTTTCAAATCGTCTTCAACAATACATTGATTGTATGTTAAAAACTAGAAAAAAATATAATTTGGTACCAGAATCTAACCCATACCTCTTCGCCAATTCCGATTCAGAAAATAGATGGATAAATGGAGCATATGCATTAAGAAAACTTGCAAAAAAATGTGATGCCAAACAACCTTCTTTGTTGACCTCAACAAAATTTAGAAAACATATTGCTACAACCCTTCAATTAATGAGCATGAAAGATGATGAAATGGAACAAATAGCGACTTTTATGGGACACACCAAAAAAACACATCTTGAATTTTATAGGTATGCTGTTTAGTTTAAAATTATGGCTTTTAATATAAAATAATTTATTTTAGATTGCCCCAAGACATTTATCAAACTGCAAAAGTAGCAAAGGTTTTGCTCCTGCTTGAAAAGGGCAGAGGAAAAGAATTTAAAGGAAAAAGCCTAAATGAAATTGAATTAGACACAAATGTTTATTGTTCTGAAAGTGAAACAGATATTGAAGAAGAAGAAGATGAAGAAGAAAAAAGCTTGGCAGATCGTGTATTGGACAGTGTTAAGATAAAAAAACAAGAAATCAAAATTCCAGAATTTCATCTTATTCGGACGAAGAAGATGTAACTAATGAAGTAGTAAAAAAGAGTAAAACTAAAGATTTAAAAGGTAGGTTTAATAATTAATTAATTATAATTACACTTTACCTAATAATTTTTTTAGTAACAAAAAATAGGAACCGAGTGCGTTGGTCAGACAATGAAAAAAAAATTGTAAAGGAATATTTTCAAAAACATATTAAAAATAAAATCGCTCCTAAAAAGCAAGAATGTCTTCATTTACTTGAGCGTCATCAAGGATCCTTTTTGGGTAAAGATTGGCTGAAAATTAAAACGTTTGTTTATAACTGTTATAGAAATAATTAATACTAAAAATACTGTTTTTATTTTTGTTAGTATTATTTTATATTTTAGTTTTTTTATAATAATAATAATAATAATAAAAATAATAATAAATATCTTTATTGATTATAAAAAAACTGTTTTTATTTTTGTTAGTATTATTTTATATTTGAGAATAGTATAGAATAGTGGAATTTTTTCTATTGTTTTGTTTTTCACAAAAGTTTTTGGTTAACCTTAAATTTTTTAATAAAAGAAAGCAAAATTTAATTTTTATTTTTGTATTTTTATTTTCACTACCCACCTACCTATTTAAAAATCTAAAACTATTATAAATCTTAATAATGTAGTTTTATTAAATTTACTATTGCCAAATGTACTGTAACTTTTCATGTTATTATTATTCCTTACCATAATATTTACTATAATTATTATATTTAATATAATTTTATTTTCGTCAAACGTTCACCCAATTACAGAAAACAAAATATAAAGCTGCTGTCAATAAATTAACTATTTAACATCAATGTGGCGGAGAGGAATTACTACTTTGAAACCGCCACATTAGTGTAAAAATATTAATTTCATTGGCAGCGGTTTTATATTTTGTTTTATGTAATTGACGGAAATAAAAATATATTAAATATATAAAATTAAATATAATTATTTTAAAATGTACCTACCATTTTTATTTAATCAGAAGAGTGTAATGGTACGATATACGGGGCAGTTAATTTTTAACATTTCTTAATTTATTATTTTAAGGCTTTACGAAATATGAGACTAGTTCTAAATATTTAACTTAAAATTGTATCAAGTGTGCATTAGTAACTTAATATTTGGACCCATTCTGTTTATATTATATAATTTATTAGGGCCATATTTAACCTAAGCATTCCAGAGTTAGAGTCTTTGTCAACACGTAATAAAAATAGGGTATAGTACGTTTGACTGTTTGAATGATATTTGTAAATCACTGTAAAGGCGCTGTGTAGACCTACGTGTTGATGTCTTTAAGCATCCCATGATGCACTAGGGTGACTTACCAATACCGCACGGATGTCTGAGCCATATCGGTAGAGAGATGAGGTTTTGACGTTCCAAATGAACTATATATCGATAGGCCTGTTTGGCTTTGATAAAATAAACATAAAAATTAGGGAAGAGAGTATTTTTTAAGATAGTTGGGTTTTGTTATTTGAAGGGACAGTTACGTGTTGCTCTTTGAAGGGATTAGTTGAATTCTTTAATTTTATAAGGGAGTGAATTTAGCAAATAATATTTTTTCTATATTTAGTTATTATAATCATATCATACTAAATAATTAACCATATTTTATGTTTCCATAATCATAATAGTTAATATTTTTTTTTAAAACGAGAGTTAATGCGCATTATCTCGAGTGTAATACTATGTTTTTTCTACTCCAATTAAGTAATGTTCTTTAATAACACAACTTATTATAACGCCAATTTCTTCCGATTTTAATGATCATTATAGTAGCCCCTCGTATATATAAAAAAATCTGACATCTGATAGAAAGTTCCAAACTCACTTTTTTCCAATTTAAAACCCTATTGGTTTAAACCACAGTAAATATTGAAATCAGCCAATCACTAATGCCTAACAACGTAAATAATGTGTTTAATATTCCCGTTGTTAGGATCTACCTACCATTAGATAGGGAAAACTTAAGTAATGTCAATAATATGCAATTTTTTTAAAATTGTGTATTGGGTATTTTTCAAGAACTACATATTTAAAATTGGAATAAGTAAAAATACAAATTTTACATTTTTTTTATTTTTTTATACCAATAAAATAGACTAATTTATTTTGATATTTTATAAATTATTTAATTAAAAAAATTGTTTTTATTAAATTAAATTTATTGCAGAAAAATTAATGTAGGTACATAATAAAATTTGGTCTCATATTACTTTAGTTTTTATGTTTCTTCTGTGTAATTTAGCGATTTTTTAGTAAATATGAATTTAATTTGTTCTATTAAATTTATGTAGGTACATAATAATAAATTACAAAATTTTTCTTGTCATTCTGACCAGGGCAGAAGTAAACATTGGTCATCACGATAAAGTCCACTCCTAATTTATTTTTTAATGTTTCATTTTATTCGTATATTTACACACAAATTACGCCACATTAAAAAAATATACCCAAATGGTGTAATTTAAAAATAACATTTTCCCCAAACAAATTTAATTTCAAGATAAAACTTGGGTTTTAATAAAATTTATTGTTATTAATAAATAAATGCAGGGACGTAGCGTGGAGGGTGTAAGTTTTTCGGAGTCTGCATTTTTCGAGCTCCGATAATATATAATATATTATATTTCAATATTTCCAATGAATGGGAACGTCATTTTAGATGATTCCGAAAATTATTTAGTTAAAGATTGTTAAATATACGTGAATTAGCTCCAGCTAATGCCGCGGCTTTCAAAAAACTATTTGCACTAAGTATAATTCTTCCCCAATCTTAAACATTGCTGCTGTAGTCGGCAAAATCTTCTAAAAAGTCTGAATTTCTCACCTCCACATGGAACATTTGCTACGTCCTTAATTAATAATAATTTGTTACATATTTTTTTCATATACGTATTTTGTTAGCAGTAAATAAAATAAAAATATATAATACATATAAGTTAAACAATAAAAATTTAATATGATAACATAAAACATAGATTATGATTATAGATTATATAATTATAATTATTCATGAAAATGAAAATGGAAATGAAAAATATAAAAAAAACAGTAATAGTCACTAAAAATTAGACATGTTCACAAAGCGAAAACTTGGTGATTTATAGGTAGTATCAGTTTGCACCATGCATGAAAATGCAATTTTTATTTTTTTAAAACTTATAATGAAGTATCTTTATTGGTGTATTCTTAATACATTACATATTACTATGTTACGGGTTTAAGTATAAATAGTGAAAAGTAAAAATAATAAAAATATAACATTTTTTAAGGTTTATTTTGTAAGTTTGGACATACAATTCCCTAAAAACAAGATCTAGGTATATGTTAAACAATACAATTTTCATGATATGATAAATACTTATAAAACCTACATAATTATTTAAAGTAAACTTTAAAATTTGAAAAAATATATAAAAACAAGAAAGTTAGTCTCTCAAGAAAATTACATTTTTACACTCGGTGCAATACCAAGGTACCATTTTTTTTTTTGTTATAACTTTTATTAGAATTATTATTTAACTATTAATTTGATTATTATTAATTATAATAATTATTGTCATTAAAACTATGGGTTTAGAATAACTGCATTTATTTTAATAAAATCGCTCAGATGTACTGAAAAAAGTGTGCATTTGACTATTATTAACAAAGTTACAACTATTTAAAATGGCTGGAAATACCGTTGTAGCCCGCGCACCAACGGAGAGTTAATTGTCGAACTTTATTACATTTAAATCCATAAATCTATTTTTAAAATGATTTTAAGTATAAATTAATACACAGTTGCCAAATTTCGGGACCGTAAACGTCAGCACCGTATGGTCTTCATATAATCGTGTATAAGTCTGGTTTGTGTATAACAGTCCTGCCCTCTACGCGGAATAAGCGTGAACTAATTCCATATAAAAAAAAATGTTTTACCGATTTTTCAAGCCCTCCCAATTTTTGTTTCCTTTAACCCCTCTTTCCCTTCTGAACACAACTGTATAGCTAAACGTTGTCGAACCCGAAGCCGGGTCTGAAAACGTCGATTTTGGTCTGGAAAGTCGGTACTCTATAGCGTTTTGGGTCCGTATAAGCGGTCGTACAAATGTATATATATATATATATATATATATATATATATATATATATATATATATATATATATATATATATATACATATATATATATATATATATATATATATATATATATATATATACGTATCCAGTAACAAAAGGCCACCCGAGGCCCGCCGCAGGGAACAATTTTTAGAGTATGGATTTTGAATTTTTAGAATGTCCCTAATAATATTTAATAACAACCCTGCTTGAGGGGAAAAATTTTTCAAAAATTAAGATATACAAATTTGCAACGTATATGTGAGTCCCTCTATTATATCTAATGAACATGCGAGGCCCAATGTATATAAATGGCATTATCGGTGTACATGCGAGTCCATGCAACGTTGTCAAGTTAACAATGTTGACAAGTCAATTATATTCCCGCCTAAAACAATACAACGTGCTTTTTTAAGGTCCTGGGTAAACTTGTTAAAACGTTTTCTTACAATTACTTCATTTTTTATGTCTGTGTTGTGCATATTATATATTATACATACATTGTCTTAGAGTTAGGCCTTTAAATAAGTGTAACAAAAAATTTCTTAATTATTTTAAATCTAATTATGAGATTATACTGTCAAGACTAAATATTCTAGATTGGAATTTGTGCTTAAATGTCAAATTAAGCGTTAATGAAGCTTTAGATCTTATTTATGAAACACTTTTAAAAATTATCAACGAAACACTCCTTTAAAAAAAGCAAAAAAAACTTTCCAAATTATTTATCACAAAGCACAATTGCCAAAATTCAAGAAAAAAATAAGTTGCATAAAAAATGTAAATTGTATCATAAACTATCAGATCTACATAACTTTAAAAAAATAAGAAAACTAACCAAAGAATTAATTAAAAAAGACTTCAATAATCACGTTCAGTTCGTGGAGCAGG